TTTTCGTCAAAAAACGACGATATATTATTTCGTCAAAAAACGACGATTATACTCTGACGGCAGCACAGAAAAAAGGTACATTTTACTTGGTTATTCTGTAGAAGCTGTACCACTTCCCCTAAACACGTCTGAAACTATGGGAACCATACAAGGAACACATTTCATTTAAACAAAAGGCATTACCTGCATCACACACACCTACCTGCTTGCGGGCATCTATATCAGCAGTATCTTCTACAAAGGCTTCATCTACTTCATGCTCCTCCAGTTCTTTTTCTGCATTTTCAGGTAAAACAATCTCGAAGTCATTCTTTGGAGCAGGAAGGGCCATGAGCCCGAGGCGCAGGTGTTCACGAGACTCTCTCTCCTGTCGAAGTATCACAAAGATGGTGCAAGAATTCAGAAGCATCGTAAGGTGCAACACGACCAAATTCCACTCACTTACATTAACAGACACGAACAATAATTTTGAGACAATACAAAAACGATACAAACAGCACCAGATCTGGAAACTACTAGAGTCCACCAAGAACTTGAAGCCCTGGTTTTCCTTCTAGCAGCAAAAAGCCTGTTTACTATAAAAAGGTTAATACAGAACCAAAGTAAGTATGAGGATGTTGAATAAACCTTGTCCTTCAAGCTAAAAGGAAATCTGAAATTCTGAACTTGAAGTGTTTTTTTTGCGAGAACATGCCAAAAACTTCAAGTGCGTATCCTTACCTAGCCCCAAAAGAAAAATGCCAATAGCTCTGGCGGGAGATATCCAAAGCCACAGTTCAGGCTGCAGAACCAGCCACATAAAAGGAGTTCCCAAGGTGTTACCTATTAGGTATGTGCCCTTTCATACCATGTCTAATTGGCAGGGTACATCTGGCTGAATCTCCAAGAATGGAAACAGCTGTTGCCAAAGGCGATGAAAGAATCTGGAAGGGACTCAGATTACTGGACGTCTAAAAACCAAGTGCTCCTAACGGCAAAAAATAAACTCCTTTCGCTCAGTGTCGTCAGCCAAACAGGACTGATGAAAAGGTCCTGTAGGTAAATGGGGAAGCCAAGCCGATGAGGGATTTGAGGGCTGTGCTGGACTGCAAGAAAAATGAATCTTTGCTTGAGATGTATTTCCTGCTCAGCTTCGAAGATGCAAGTAGGACTGAAACTTAAGTATGTCTCCTTTGCCAAACAGCTTTAGAGTGCTTTTACTGAGCACACTGAAAGCTGTAAGTGGCAAGATTTCTGTTCTTTCAAACAAAGATTTGATTTTATCAGGTGATGAGTACAGACAGACCTGCAGACACGTGGTAGAAGTAACTCTTGCTGTTACTATGAAATAAAATTCTGTCCAGGAGATGAGAATTAAAAATCCTGAAAATTAACAGAGCACCAATTTCCACTTCTTACGTCCTTCTTACCATTTGTTTTGCATAAGTTGGGTCACTGTAATCTGCCATTCCCTCTTCTGGGTTTATGTTCAATTTATCACGCAGTGGAGTTCTACCAGGAGTTGTACCAACCACAGGTTTAGGAGTTAATCCTCCACGAGGAGTTAAACCTTCTGGTCCATGAGAAGGTGTTCTAGAAGAAGTGCAGACACAGTCATTTATTTTTTTTCTTAAAGAGCTCTACTTAGAAAAGCCTAAATGCTGCAAAAAGTTAAGTAAATACTGTTAATAAATTCAATCTAGATCTTTTTTTCTTGGGAGGCAGTGAAGCTCTAATATGCAATTAGAAGAATCCAAAAAATGAATTGTTTAAACCTGTCAAGGTGTAATCAAGGACCTGTCAAGCTGAAATCTAGGCACACCATTATGTTAAGACAAGTTTCAGGAACTACATCAACACAAACTCCCACTGCTGCTTTTGAGAGAAGAGATTATCCAGTCACCAGGCACTATTCTGGGATACAGTAAGCAGCATTTAGTAGCAAGCTCTGATTTCCCTGCCACCTGTGGCAAGTCATTCACTCTGAATTCATCTGGCTTAACAGCTGTCACATGTTAAAACTGTATGAATCACTCTTTGCTTTCACTGATTATTGATGGAGTAATTACATTACAATAATTACTTCAAAGCACATAAGGTTAGGCAAAATGGATTAAATCTTAGATTCGGTGGGCCTTGGTTGCTTCTCCTCCAGACTAGAAATAAATACTGTTCCCTGTGCCAACAGCTTATGATATGAAAGGCATGCAGACATTGTCTTGGAGAGAGTCACAAGTTTTCTGTTGCCAACAGAGTTTTCACATACTGATGACAATTATAAACTGATATGACATTCTTAAATATTTCAAAGAAAACAATTCAGGCAGGTGGCAAAAACTTTTAGAAAAAAGCCTACATGATGGTACATATCTACATTTACGTAAGTATTTTCAGACAGTAATGACAAGCATGTGTGCTGTAGAGAAATAAGACTGGACAAAATAATTTAATACCCCATTTTATATTCTGTAGTGTCAGTAAGATGCCATAATGGAGACAAACACAACTGTATATATGGCCCAACACACACTACTGGTTGTCTTTTTAGGGACACACCAGCGCCCTTTTTACTAGGTAAGTCTGGGAGAGGCAAGAGATACTTCCCCCTTGCTTGAGGTTCTTCACTGGTTTTTATGAATTTTCATTTAGAATAACAAATACAAGTAATAACAGGACCACACCCACAAAAAGCCAGCCAAATTAATGTTTATGTTTTCAGGTGACTGTTTCATAGGATATATTTACTTTGTTGATTATACTAGCAGAAAAAGTTTTATGCTGACTTTCCAGAAGAAACAATTTCAAAGTAAGATGGTGGTTTCTTCCTAGTGGTCCCAGATCCATGCAATGTTTAAAACCCTATTATAACTTCCAACTTAATATCTTTTAAGAAAATTCTTATAACTAGGACATAAAAAAAACCAAACCAAAAAAAAAAAAAATCAAACAACTAATGCACAGCAACAACTTCCATGAAAACCTTGAAATCAAAGTATTACAAATTTCATACCATCATAGGAAAACAAAGTGTACTTGGTTTAAACATTTGCCCCTTTGGCCTAAATAATATGATGGCATGATGGTTCTGCTTCCCCAACCTGCCTCCTTTAAAATGATATGGCTTCCCTTTGTTTATTTTTAACCACCTAAAGGATTTTTTTTTTCTCTGCTCAAGTTCTTGGATTTTCACACTGATAAAGCATTTCTGCAAGCTAAGGTGATACTTGGGTATCACATTTACATGTGGAAATCTGAACTTCAGAAGCTTAAAAAACAACAACAAAAACCCCAAAACCCCAACAACAGAATTAGAATGTCTTTACATTTTTTAAAATACAAAATAACCCAAATGAACAGCTAGATCACTCCAGACCAAACTCTACATTTGTTGTTCTGCACCGCACTGGTGCCAGCAGATCTCCAGAAAAGGATTCATTTATGTAGATCCAATTAAAAGAGCAGGGCTGTCACACACTGCTTTTAAACAACAAAATAAGGCTGCCCTAAAGGTCCTTTTTACTTCCTTCTCCGTTTTTCCTACTAGCATGACACAAGTAAAATTAGAACCTAAGCTGAAAAAATTGACAGACAAAATGTACCAAGCGTCCTATTTTTTAGCTGCATGGTATTTGGCACTTGTGGGATATATATTTATTCAGGACCCACTGTAAGAGTTAAACCAGCAATTCCATACTATTTGCATTGGCAATGTAAGAAATATTTTATTTTGGATATATATGGCTTATAAAATATTTACTTCAGCTTTTCAAAAATTCAGTGTGGGTTTGGCTAAGGGACCTCCTACACCTTTGACTCAGAGGTAAGACTTCGGAAAGTCTAGGATTCACAAACGGAATGACACTCCACCTTACTATTTATACTCCTGTATTACTTCAGTATAATACATACTGCTGCAGAGCACAGGAGACCTCATTTTGGACCAAAACACCAGTGAGCTATACACTGTACAAATACAGATGATGTGGACGGGCTTGTGAAAGACAGAGGAGGCAGATAAAAGTGAGTTAAAATTTGTTTTGAAGCACTGATCATAACCTACGAGTTTGCGCACTGCAGTCGGCTCCCTCCACCCACCCCCACCAGACACAGGCCCAGCCAAGCACCCATCAGAGTCCGCCTTACCTGAAGGGTGTCGAAAGCACAGTGTTTGGAGTCTGAACAACCTGCTTCTGTGGCGTAACCCCCGAAAAGTCACTTTCATGCAAGGGAGTGTTCAGACCTCCCTTCAGGGGAGTATCCACGTTTGTGAGAGCCATCAAATTCTGTGCTTCCTGTACAACAAACAACACATGCAGCACATCACTAAGACTTGCACAGTCACTCTCTACTGTATGTGTTTAACAGGTTCAGTAGCAGTAAGAACAGCTGAAGAGTTATTTGAATATCAGTTTGTAGAAAATGTTTAACACTTCTTAACTTTAACTCCCATACACTGGTATTTACAAACCCTTCTGTTCCACTGAAATGGATTTTAATCTTCATTTCCAGTAAAACATACAATAAATTGGAATTGCAAAAATGAGCGAGTTACTTTTCAACATTCCAACATCCTTCAGTTTAGCAGACTCCATAAATCCGCAAGATTTATTAGCGACTGAATACTCAAGTCACCCTATGGATCCTGATTTTCAGAAGAAACAGCACACTTGCACTCTGAAATCCAACACCCATGAAGTTTATCCAAACTGCACTTCAAAGAGAACCTTTCAAAAGAGATGGTCACTATGCAGATTTTTGGTCCATGACTCAACTGGGGCTTTTATGAATATTCCCTTTTTTTTATTATTTATTTTTCCTTTTTACAATGAAGAATTAAGGCACTTTGAAATCGAGCTGATAATGATACTGCTGCACATAGCAATTATCTTCACAGAAGACTGCTAATCCAGCTATAAAACTGTACATAGGCATAATACTGCCACAGGTGATGTCAGAGCACTCCATTTAAAGGCAATGTGACCATTCTTGACCCAAGTCTCTGTGCAGTGTTTTCATGATCTGCAGAGTCAGGAATTTTCTCCTTTCTTCTATCATGAAACAAAATCTGTTGAAATACAGCTCATTATAAACACAGGGTGGGGGTTTTTTTTTTGGTTTGGGGTGGGATTTTGAGGGCATTTTGTTTCTTTGTTTTACACACTAGCTGCACTGACTTAATTTAGCCATTTCCCCACACTCAAGAAAATATTACCCAATGCTACCAGTTTTTGAAAGAACTCAGACACTTACACAATCGGTGTAACACAAACATAATTCTGAGGTTGCAAAGGTAAGCTTTGGCAATCTCTGTCTTAAAAGGTTTCAAGCCAATAAATTGCTAGGAAAATATTCTTGTGGTTAATTATTTCTTGTTAAACAAAATAAAAGCTGATCAGCAAAACTAAGTAGGAAAAAACATAAAAGACAACATCTCAAGGTCACGATCACCATACACAGCTGAGAGGTAAGCAGGACAAGGGTAAAATTACTAAGACATCAGGAGAACTGTTCATGATAAAAGTTGCACGCAACATATAATATAATAAAAAAAGAGTATCAAAGTGTTTTGGAGCATGGTGACAAGTGATCAGATAGAAGTGGATCCATTTCTATGCCTTTCAGCATCCATCCAAACCCCTGTACCGCACATAATCAAAGTAGTGTTTCTATGGTACTTACATCCTCTATTCAGTTGACTACTGCACTGAAACCAAAAGCCCATTCTGTACATTTATACCCTACCTGCAGGATCCTGTCTTGTGCTGCCGGAGTTTTGGGAGTCCTTAGTGCTATGCTGTTGTTGGTCACGTTATATTCAGACAAAAGAGTGCTGGAAGCGGAGTTTGTAATTCCAGATTCCTCAGCAGTCTGGCGTGCAATCTCGCTTGCCTGGCCTACTTTTACAACTTCTTCGAGTTCAATATCAGATATCTTTAAAGAGAAAATTCCAAGGTATAATAAGATAAAATACAACCACAAAATCCCCTTGATAGAACAGAAATCATTCATTGGCACTGGCCTTTTGTAAGTCATTTATTGATCAATGAACAGCTTACCTGAGGAGCTGGAAGCACTAGTTTACTTCTTTTTTTGGTAAATTCCGAGACTCCACTGGTCTGTAGAATAGCTGAAGGCAAGTCTGACTCTTTCTTCCGTTTCATATGTTGTTTGTCTTTTTTGCGCTCTCTTCCCTCCCTTTCACTGTCATTATGGATAAGAGAATCATTTTAGAACACACAGAACGCCTACAAAACAAACAAGCATAGAGCAAAAAGCCTGTATCCTAATCAAAAGTTGGATGTGCTGAAATAAATCATGTTGCAGGAAGAGTGAACCACCTTGTGGTGCAGAAGTTAAAGTGATCAGGTAGAGTGTGCAGATCTTCTAGCAGAACATACAAGGCAGTGTAATGCTTCTGAATTCTGGAATTAGGCAACAGTTGGTTGCTTCAGCTATAATCATCAGGGTCACTGGAGCAAGAAAAAAAAATGTCAGTCCAAGAATACAGATAGCAAGAATCAGAGGATGTGAAGAGTCCCTTTTTCTCCAGTAGCTGCTAAGGGAAGATGAACATTTTCTGTGGGATATGGGAACCAGTTTCTTTTCAGTGTTTATTAAAATGGTATTTTCTTCAAACAGCAATGAAATCAGCCAGTGAAATCATAAGCTTCATTCTGAAGCTTCTTCCAGACCCTCTGAACTAAGAGCCATACAGAAAAAAAATCAATGAGATCACAAGCTAATAAACTCAATCATATGTAGCACCAGACCTTCTCTCTCAGTAAAAAGCAGTTGGCAGTAGTCGGAAATGCAATTAAACAACTAAGTATGTACCACACTCTTGATGATGATGGGCATTTGATTTTTCGATGTGCTGGTTTTAGTCAGGAAAGAGTTAATTTTCTTCACAGTAGCTGGTATGAGGCTGTGGTTTTGGATTTGCCCTGAGAATAGCACTGATAAGGTGCTTTTCAGTTGGTGCTAGGAGGTGCTTGCACTAATTCAAGATCTTTTCCAGCTTCTGATACTGCAGCTGTGTTCCTAACTTTCTCATTACAAGCAGCATGGGAGACAGACATAGACAGATCAGACAGCTGACCCAAACTAACCACAGGGGTATTTCATTCCATAGCATGTTATGCTCAGTACATAAGGCAGGAGTGGGCCAGGGGGATACAGCTCCTTTGCACAGCCCGCTCCTTTGTTTGCTTGCTTGTTAGCTCGCTTGTCTGTTAGCTTGCTAGCTTGCTTGTTCAATAGTGAGCTGGTGGGTCGGTTGGCTTTCCCAGTTGTGCTGTCCCTTGTGGGCCTCGCTCCGATTCTGCTGCGATCACTCTAGGGCTGGCTCTCACTACTCAGGACCTGGCTGTGTATCAGTCGGCAGGTACTAAGCAACTGTATCATACGGTTTATCTTCTTTTTATTACTTAGTAGTAGTAGTATTGTTAATATCATTAGCATCACTATAATATTCATTTATATTCAATTCTTAAATTGTTCTTATCTCAATTCACGAGCTTCCTTGCCTTTTACTCTGATTCTCCTCCTCCACTGGAGGGGAAGAGGAGGGGGTGAGTGAGCAGCTGCATGTACTTTTCCAGACGAGGTCAAACCATGACAATGGCATCTTTGGGGATTTTTTAAGGGGAGAAATTAAGCATTTAAGGGACCCCCTTAAAGTACAATTCTATCAAAAGTAACACTATAAGTAAAAATCTACTCCTGTAAGCAATCTGAATAATGTTATTACTTGGAAAAAGGACTGCAAATCTACTGCTAAAAAAAAAAAAAAACCAACCTCAAGAAGCTCAAGATTTCCATTTCAAGAATGTACACAAGGAACTTCATTCTAATTGAAAAAAGGTCAACTAGGCCTTTTAGAAAGACAAAAAATACAGGAGACTGAAAAGGCAGAAGCAACCAGTCTGTCCCATGGAAAATACAACTCCTGCCCCCATTCCATTGCAGACATTTCCAGGAATTAACAGAACTTCTTTTCAAATATACTGTTCCCTCCTTAGTATAACACACACTTACGATCTTAATTCTCCATCCAGGTCTTGCTGACGTAGCTTCCTAAAATCTGCATCCAGGGCCTGGTAGTTTTCCTCTGATGTATCATAAAATCCAGGGGCAGGCTTCTTTTCAAATGGAATTTCTGCATTATAATCCACACCTCTCTTCTTTTTTCTTTTCTTCTGGATCTCAATTCCAGCAGCCCGAAGTTCTCGTCTTTTCTGGAGAGCAGCAAGCCGCCTAAAGAAACAACAACACTAGGTGATTTGAAATGCATACCTATAGGTGGCTCCTGCATCCTAACAGCTGGTATTATTTTAATCGGTTGCTGCCGAGATAGAGCTGCACATATTTAAACAAGAAGAATGAAGATCTTGTCACAAATGACTGTTAAAAAGTCTGATCCTGCAATGACTTACGGTTGTGCCTGACTTTATGCATTGTGAATGCTTCCAAGTCAACAGAAGTAGTACCAGTATATGAAAACAAGCATAACTTTACCTAGCTTCTTCCAGCTGCTTCTCTCTTGCTTTTCTTTTAGCCTTCTTTCCCTGTGTATTAGCCAGGCGAGCTCTAGCTTCAGACAGCATTTCAAGCTCATCTACAATAGTACAGATAAATACAGCTATGAATTTGCACTTAAACATGGGAGTAGGGGAAAACGTAGCATTAAGTTCAGAGAGCAATCTTTAAATCTTTAAAATCAAAGTTTTCACAGGCATTAGATATCAGGAAGAAGTTCTTCCCGGAGAGGGTGGTGAGGCACTAGGACGGGTTGCCCAGAGAAGCTGTGGATGCCCCATCCCTGGAATTGTTCAAGGCCAGGCCAGACGAGGCTTGGAGCAACCTGGTCTAGTGGAAGGTGTCCCTGCCCATGGCAGGGGTGTTGGAACTAGATGGGCTTTAAGGTCCCTTCCAACCCAAACCATTCCATGATTCTGCATGACAGCTAAACTAGTGTTCTCCAAATTGCTCCAATGTATTTGATAAATCATGGGCCAGATAAAATGAAGACTTTTAAGAAAAAACGTCCAACGTTGAAAATAATTCATCTAATTTCTAAAGCAAATCAAAATATCTACATAAAGAGGTAAACTAACCACACTAATGAGATCAGAATTTCATTTATGTCTTCATCTTAGAGTACTGTATTAGCAGTATTTGTGACTGTTCAAAAACACCACTGGTCCGCTCACGGAATTTTAGCCATGTTAATTTTCTAGTTCATAACATTGCTACGTGCAAGGAAAAAAGCCATGTAGTCCTCCTGTGCTCCAAGCAAGGATTTATCAGGGGGATGAGCTGATAGAAAAAGATGAAGATACAGAAGTAAGCACTCAAACAAGCAAGCGAGTTGTCAAAGCAGACAGTCAGTCAGAGCAAGAGATGGCAAAGACAGATGAAAAGGCAGGAAACACACTAAGAAAAGGAAAACGAAAAGTAGAAATAACTGACCAGATACAGAAATAAGACAAAACACTAAGAAAAAATGATGGGGGAGGATGGAATGGGGACAAAAAAAAAAACAGGATACAGAGGCCATGTAAAAGGAAAAACAAAGAGATCAGATTTCTGTCAAAAGCAGAATCTTACCTTCATCCATGTCAATGGGATCTGGCCTGGCTGGTTTGGTTTCTGGATTTGGATCAATTTCTCCAGGTTTAAGTTTCCGAGGATCATCAGCAGTTTCTTCCTCATTGTCTCTCTGAGCAGCTTTGTCCCTAAAAACACATTGTATGTATATCACAACTGGCTCTGTGTCCCCAAAGACTGATCAAAAAAGTAACCTTGTATTATGGACTACACATAAACCTGTTACTCAACCACTGCAGAAAAAGATGCATGAATATGGTATGGTTACATGATTAACTGATTAAATTAGACAAAAAAGCCAACAGAGTATTATATTTAAATAATAAATT